GCATTGCTTCTAGAGAGTATTTCTTCTGCTGTAAAGCTGAGTGATAAAATAACTTAAAACACACAGCAGTAGCAGCAGTTAATAAGCTTTTTATAGTCCCTGTGTGGACCTGAAAATCATACCTTATTAGTATCTTTATCTTTCTTGCTCACCCATCTTACTTGCATTCAGATTTAATTTTGAGAGTTATTTTTACATTTCTAGTCTTTCATAGTGGAGCTGCTTTAATAATCTCAGCATGGGTTTTTTGTTCATTTGCTGTGAAATGGGTGTTTCTGTTATATACACTTTACAAATCACTCTAGGGTTTTTTTCCAAATAATTTCTGGAGATGCCATGGCATTGTTGGGATATGTGTGTGTTTGGTTTTTTCATGTCTTGGACCAGTTGAATTATTTTTCTTTCACCACAGATGTTTGTAATTCCATTCTTTATTAGCTGCAGTGACACCTACCGATAGGGGGAACCTAATTAACTAAAGAATTCCCAATTGCTGAATTTAGCTAGCAAGCTGCTTGGGACTGTACCCAGCAGATGTTTCTCCTGCTTAGAAGTATGGGGACTTTATAGACCTCCCTGCTTTTTAATCCTTGAAGCAAATATCAACACATTTGAGATCTGGAAATTCACTGTTCAACACAGAAATGAAATGTTGCCATGACCACAGTTTTAGGTCTTGCATTTAAGACATTTTCCCCAGGAACAACAGGGAAGGACCATAGAACAGGAGGTTTGCTTTTGTCCTTGAAATCTTGAAATTTAAAAAGGGATGAAGACATTGACAGAATGAACAGTCCAGTCGCGTTTTTTCACAATCTTTTAACATTCACTGTAGAAATATAAACATTCCCTCTTTATATACCAGAACCAATAATATAGTCATAAATATTCCAGTAAGAAATCACACATTTGGTATTCAAAGAGTTGATTCACTCAGTGTTTCTAATGGAAAATACCTTAATTATTCTCAGGACGTTGGTGATTTCTTTCAATGGGTAAAGCTAATGCTAGCAAAGGGAAATCCATCTGAGTAGTACAACACGTTTGCAAGAATAGTACATGGGCTTTCACATGAGGATGACTCACTCATTTTCATCTTTCTGAGGGCAGATCACGTAAAGAAAATCCCTCGCTACTTCTGCATGCAGGCGTAGTGTGCTCAGAGCATTTGGAATATTGCCCTTGTATAGTGAAAAGCATACTAATGATTCTACGTCTACAACTTCCTTCACAGGCATTACACCAGGTAATCACTACATTGCGTAGGACACATAAATGCATAACTTTGCTACATGTTTTTTCCCCTCTATTATTATTTTAAGTGGTTTCATTCCACACAAAACAATCTACGCAGATGTATACAATCTATTCATTTTTCAGGTCTTCTAATTATATTCCTCCCTTTGCTATATAAGTTTTTGAATAAGTAACAATTCGTCAGATAGTACCTTAAGAGAATTTTGCTACATACAGTGTAGTGGAAAGAACTTTTAAAGATTGGTGTGCAATAAATTTATTCACTAATGGTTTCGGTCTTATATCAATCATTTTAATATAAAAAGCAGGTTTTACTGTAATCCAGTTATTTGTTGTCTGTAGATTTTGTAAGCCTCGAGGCCAAAAGCCATTCACTTTTCACAAAATTTTCATCTTAACTTGATTAATACCCATAACACAGTTGTTACAACAGCCTTGTTCCCATACATTAAACTCAGTGGGAGTTTAGAATCAGGCCCAATGTGAGATTAGCAAGAAAAGAATTTTGTCCCCCAAACGTTAGAGAAATAACAAAATTATGCAAAATTACAATAAGTAGAAGTTAATTTCATCAGCATATGTCTGTGGTAATTTAGAACACATCAGAGAACACAGACCTTTGCAAATACCATAACTTTCAGGGAATGATGTATACATGCAGTCAGAGAAGATGCTGGATATTTTGTGGTTTTATGCAGTACATATGGTTTTTTAAATTGGTGTTGAATTTTTGCAATTTATATATACACCCTCTCTTTCTCTCTCTCTCCCCCCCCTTAATGTCCATGCTGGATTTTTGCTGTTCTGCAAAACATCATCATCATAATTAACAATAATAATAATAATAATAATAAGGAATAGATTTTTAAGAGTTTAGTAATGAACGGAAGAGGCCAAAATCAGAACATTTCCCCAGCCTTAGGCAACATATTGCATATTTAGTATGGAAGGTAAATATTGTAAGCCCACACAGCTCTAGGGTGAAGTCAAAAATAGCAGAAAAACTTGTTTTCATCAAGACCAACCCACCATTGCTAGTTTATAATTATATTTGACCCTACCAATTTGTGGCAACAGCCGCTATACTAGCAGACAGCAGTGTTTGTGCAAAGAGATGTCAAACTGGGAGTTATTACAAGCAAAATTATCATTTTATTAAAAAAATATTTCCTTTTGTAAGCAACAAATAATACCCAGACTTGAAAGTCAGAGGGGTTCAATCTTTTTTTTTTTGGTATGCTACATATCTAACTTTACCTCCCTACAGCAACACAAAATGCCCAAGAATAATGTTTTCAATGTCTATAAATACTCAAAACAAATACTAGACTCCACAAAGCCCTAACTGATACTGTGGGGGAACTGTAGGCAGGAAGAATATAAACAAATTGCCAGAGTCAGATCAGGGCCAGGACTCAAGAGCTAATACATTCTCTCGTGAGGATACTGCCATGAGAGATCTTCAGTGAATATGCAGGTGCTGGAAAACCGATTCTTTTCCCATCCATCCTGCAGGTGTTGGACTAAGGTGTGTAGGTGGGTTTGGTTTGGTTTGTTTTTTCCCTCCCTTCCTATATGAAATAACATCTGCAAGGTCCCATGTAGCTTTTCTTTTATGCCTGTGTCTTTTCACCAGTCTCTGTGTCCATCTTTCTTGCTCAGTATTCTCTCACACACGCATGTTCTCAATCACTCTCTCGCATATAGGTATACACACCCACATGCCTGCCCTTACCCGTCTCTTCCTAGCTGCAACGTTCCCCCCTCAGATTGTGGAAAACTTCCCTTCACATGTATGCGGCTCCAGAGTCTCTGGAGATCACAGGAACCCAGAAGCTGATAATGGAGCCAGAGTGTAGACTTTCTGCTCAGAAAGAGCACAGTTATGAAATGTAATGATTCTGATAGCACCGTAGTGAGATGGGACTATAGAAGGAGAACCAAGTGTGGCTTGTGGGTCAGGTGTGTGTTTGGAACAAGGATCCCTAAAAAAGTGGCATGTATTTTCTGGAGCAGCAGGCCGTTACTGCTTTAAATAGGACTTGGGGTGTGGCTGCTACTGCAGAGACGTGGGGAAGAGTAAAATGAGGTATGTACAGACACATCCACCATACCGCCAATATACCCAGTCTCCTTCCTCATTCTATTGCAAAGAGCCACCCTGGAGCTCTTCCGTACCTTTACAAGGGAGGGTCAAGTCCTCTTGCCTGGCACCTCTGCTGCTTCCCCCTCCTCCTCCACCCTCACCATGTCTCTTTCTCTCACTCACCCACAAACATGTAGTGGGGGTGCTGACAGCCAGCCCCCTGACCTCTGTCCATGCCCCTCCTCCCCCAAGCTGAGGCTGGGAGCAGGGCTGTGTCTCTGTGAGGAGGGACCTGTAGAGGTGTAAGGGGGCGGAAGCTATGGCCAGAGCTGGGAGTGGGCATGGGGCCAGGAGTGGAGCCTGGGCAGGGGACAGCCGCTGGGACCCCACGTGTACCGCCACTCCCCACTGCCTATGACACCATGGTTACACTACTATTTTTATGTGAGCATGTCTGCTTGAGCTGGGCCTCACGCCTCTAGCTCCACAGGTAGACGTAGTCTGACTGAACAGTCACAGTAATTCCGCTTTGGTCAAAGGAGGTCTGCGATGTACAACGTAAGTCTATGTAGTGTAGTTCAGCTATCGTACTGAAGGCAGTTTGGACTGAAATGAAAAATAAAAAAGGATAAAGGAAAGATCACCGAGGAAATGTTACTGACTTCCATAGAACTATTCAAAAAGTTGTGAGGCGTAGTAATGAAGTTAAAATACTGCATGCTCCATGAAGAAATATTTTTTGTAAATCGTTAGCCTTAATTTGCATGTAAAGGCACTTGGAAGGTTGCAATATGATAAAAATGACTGATCATTTGTAACATATGAAATTCAGGAATTCAAATTTGGGGGGATGGGAGGGTTAGCCCATAATGCCGTGTGTGTCCAACCTCAAGATCTAACTCAATGAGAAATGAAATATAGCTCTGCCACTTAATAACCTCTTGCAAGCTCTGTGAAGAAAGGAATATAGTTTTGCATATCTTCGTACAGTGCCTAATACAATGGAACCCCAGGAGTGACTGGGATCTCTGGAGCACTCTCATAATATCAATATTAAATAATAGTATATTATTAGATAGAAAGTAAAGCATTTAAGAGGGGACTTTTGTGAAGTCGCTCGCTCTCTCTCATCTTGCAATAGGGCAAGATTTATTTTTGATCCTGATTGCACCTTCCTGTGATTTTAAACAAAAATCAACCCTGTACCTTTAAATTAAAGTCATATGCGAACGAGTGACAATTTTTACCAATAGGACTAGAACATGTGGTCAACTCTGTATGTTGGCACATATGATTGCTCTGAAGATCGCTTTCAGAGAGCCTATTCTCTGGTAAGAAGAAACTTCAGCTACTTTGAAATGTATGCTAATAATAGCTTAGCATAGCAGCTGCTTTTGTTTCAGGTCTTGAGTGCGTTCGAGAAATGACCACCCCGCAAGGTTCAAATACATTCATGATCAAATACTGTGTAAATGGTCTATAGTCAGAATTATTGGTAATTAATTTTATTATTGCGATAGGTCCCTTACTCTAGGCAATCGCTCACTACGTTATCGTTGCGTAAATCTCCAGCTTTGTAGTCTACTCAGTAAATATTGCATTTTTCCTCTACTAATTCTCTCCTCTTCTCCTGACCCTTCCCTAATGTCTTAATCAGATTTGGAAAGAAGAAAGAGGAGAAAGGTGGGAAAGCTGACCAGAAGGGAAATCCAAAACACAGCACACTGAGAGAAGAAGAACTAGAAAAGATGAAAGATGAGCGTGAAAGGTGAGTAAATCATGTAAACATCTGTGTTGATTAGAAGAACAGACGGCAAAGACCTCCTATGTAGGAGGGAAAACCAGGGCAGTTGTTCCAGGCCTAGGCCAGTGATATGCCATCCCAGCCCTCTGCCAGTCGGTCTCTGCAGTGCAACGTTGTTAGGCCAGACTTCTGGCTTTCCCTTCCTGAGGCTTCTGCCATGCTGGGCTACTGCATAACAACATCTATTCTGCTTCCTCTACTTCTCTGATAGTGCTTAATGCATTCTCTGCCCAGCCTGGTGCAGCAGCTCCTCTTCAGGGCCCACAGTACCCAATGCCAGTAAGGGGACCTTCTCCTGAGGCTTAGCCTCATTTCTCCTCCCTTCCCTCCCAATGCTACGACCTGCTACTTCTGGAGCTCTGTGCACTGGGCTCCCCCTCTCCTCCATAAGGCAGTAGGAGCAGCTTCTTATGGGCCTCCAGGTTCCCTTTCTTCCGATAGCCCCCATGGTGGTTTCCAGCACTCCAGGCCTCTTCTGACTTTGACTGACTAAGGTGCCAATCAATAGGTTTTCTGCTTTAAGTGCAGCTTTGGTATATTCATCTTTATGTTGTTTCCTCCTTTTTTGTGTTGTGTTCACTCAAGGTTATAGAAGAAATTAATCTCTAGATTCATGTTGTAATAATATAAAGTACACAAATGCTGAATATGCCTAAGGACAATGGGAATAAAGTAGTGCCCAAAGGTTAGGACAGGTCCTGAGACTGAAGAACCATTGTAAACCAAGGAGGTTTTATTTTACTTCGGTTTTTTTTTTCTCTCTCTCATAAAATATACAGTGAAACCCCGCTATACCGCGATGTTTGGGGTCCAAAAAATTACATCGTGCTAAATGCGGGGTCGCGGTATAGCAGGGTTTCAAGCCCGTCAGTGGTCCCCAAGGTGGTGCATTGATGTGCGCCGCCTAGTGCCCCTAGTGCCTAGTGCCCAGCAGGGGAGAGAAGCTGCGGCCCCGCACCTGCCGGGGACAGAGAGCACCGGCGCCGGCAGCCCTGTTCTTCTCTATCCCCGGCAGGCGCGGGGCCGAGGCTTCTCTTGAAGCTGGAGAGGAGCCGCGGCCCCGCACCTGTCCGGGACCGAGAGCACCGGCGCCTGCAGCCCTGGAGCTCTCTGTCCCCGGCAGGCACGGGGCCGCAGCTTCTTCCCCTGCCTGGCACTAGGCGGGGGCACATCAATGTCCCGGCAGCCATCATGGCGTTGCGGACCACTGGTACAGTACATACAGTACTGTATTACTGTGTGTCTTAAAGGGGGGCCAAATTGTGGTCACGTTATATGCGATTTCGCGTTATGGCGGGACGCCTTATTGCGGGGTTTGACTGTATCTGTCCCATCCATAATCTCAACAACCTTGCTGCTTTTCCAGCCCAATAGAACTAATAGCTTTTACTTCTCCTGACTCCCACCCTCCTGAGTTCCCACTCTTGAAAAAGCCTGGAAAAATAGGTAATCCTTGCAGTGCTGCCCCGAAGGTGAGCAAACGCTTCTCTCCTGCTCCCCAATAAAGACTAGTCTTCTGGGTGCAACCACATTCCCACAAGGTGAGTCTTTGTTCCCCTCCAGTAGGTGGTGCACGTAGGGTGACCAGACAGCAAATGTGAAAAATCGGAACAGGGGGTGGGGAGCAATAGGAGCCTATATAAGAAAAAAGACCCAAAAATTGGGACTGTCCCTATAAAATCGGGACATCTGGTCACCCTAGGTGCACTTAAGGGGTTAATGAGACTGCTACTGTTGCCATCCAGGGGACGCAGTCTCTTAGCTCAAGCAATAGTGGCACGTGCTTTTCATATGAGACGTCCCACGCTGTGGTAATGTGTGTTACCTGGGGAGGGAGGCACACTGCAGGGCCCTCCTACCCTCATTAGAGTAGTCTGCTCGTTGGGAGATGGGGAGAAAATGGGTATCGCTGCTTTCTCAATGTACCCGGGCAGCTGCCTTCTCTCTCTTTGCAGGGATGTCACACACACAAGAGTTAAGGGGACAGCCCTACCTTTGTGTTGCTGGTGACAAGCCATTTGAGACATCTAGCCTCCCTTCATGCACTGTTACCCAGTTGGGAGACTATTGCACAATGTATTTTAGTCATGTGACCTGGTGACTAATGGGATTTGATGGGAGAAAATATCCCAAAGGTCACTAATAATATTTATTCCACTCATTTCAGGAGATGGTGAGCTATCCAGTTACTGCAGTACTGATATTGAATATATTTACCCAATGTTTTAATAGGTAGTTTATCTAAATTAAATAATTTCAGGGTAGGATTTATACCATTTGCTTTAAAATTTCTGTAGCATGTCCCTGGTTTTGCCAGGCAGTTGAGTGCCACCTTTATTTTAAACTGCTGATTCCCAGTTTGGATGCTGGCAATTTGAGAGGTATGTGTCCTTCATTTTAAAGAAGCCAGTGTCTTTTATTAGGATACTGGCAAGCTAAGAAGTATGTATCCCATCTGTTAAAGGGCCAGTGTCATTTACTAAAATGTTGGCAGACTGAAAGGAATGAGCCCTTCTGTCTAAAGGGCTAATGTTCCAACTGGACATGAGATAATTGTTCTTAACATTTCTTTCGTGTTAACTGCTTTTTAAAAATCCATAGTCACTGACTGACAGTAAATCGGCACGGGTGTATTAGAAACAGGCAGACTAATGTCTTCATCATTCTGTTTTCTCTTCTCTAATAATGATTTAACTTTCTGCCCTGGAAGTGTTTGAACTGAAATGGAGAACAGCAGGTGTGTTGAGAAGTTGATGAACTTAACTGATATTTTTAACTCACTTATTTGATTCTTCTTCCACAATGCAGATGAATAGAAATATCGCCCTCTCCCCGTCAGATAATTCTGCTTACATAAAAAAAAATACTCGTATTATCCCCAAAGTGGTATAACATACATTGTATATACAAGCAGGTCATGACGCTTCTCTAACTAAAACAAGAACATAGTTCTCTATGTTTGGTAGTTCAGGACTATCTACTAGTTGACTCTTGAACCCTATCTTGTACTACTGCTCACAGGATGGCAAAGATTTTAGCAATGATAAAGGAAAAGTGCATACTGTAGCTGGTTTTCTCACCACACGTTCCTGTGCAAGAATAATATGAGGAGTTGATTAAGATCAGCTCAAGATAAGTAACCCAGTTTAAATGAAATTGAGTACTTTATATTGTTGTTGACTACTCACCTAATGATGATGCTTATGAAGACAGTATAGATGAGTTTTATAACTGTGTCCCAAGATTCAGTAATCCTATAATGTATAATGTAATTCAAGCCTAAGATTTTAATGCACATATTGGCAAAGAAAACCATGCGGAGAGCCTACACCATAGATCTCGCTGCTAGTATGACTTCACTAACTGCAATTCTGCATACGTTGTCTCATCTTTAACAAACCAGGCTTCACTAAAGATTTACTAGAATGTAGGCATCATATTTTCAACTGCTCTCTTGTTTGGAGTGAAATGTATTTATGACAAAACTAACAAGTACTTGACTGTAGAGTGATTGTCTTGTTTACAGTTCTGTAGTCTATCTCCTAACTAACCTTGAGCAAAGTATTAATTACTTTTCTAATTTTGACTTTCATAAGTGATATTAATTACCTATCTAATTTTACCTTTCCATGAATAGTTACATGAGTAATTTTTATTGTGAAGTCTCAATTCCATCCCTAGAATAACAAACTTAGTTTGGCTGCTTGAGGCTGTATGTCAGTTAAATGCTGACTGCCTGGGTTTTTCAAAGGTCTACCACACTAACCAATACTCCTTCACCACACGTGTGTGTACATTGATCTGACACATTTTTTTTCAGACCCTGAGCTATCTATATCAGGTGTTAGTGGCAGAGGTCCAAGTCGTTGATTTTTTGGGGTGGGTGGGATAGGATTAATGATCAAGTACATTTCAGCATCCTAGCAGCTGTGTGGACCTTGCATGATGTCGGGAGATTGGTTTTGCATGCACTGCACGTTTGGCATGCCTCCAAAGGCACAAGATCTCTGTGGGGTGTGTTTTCCAGTAGGAAGTGCATTCACAACTTAGAAGAGTAGGATTTCTTTGGAGTTTTGCAAAGTGCAAATATCCCCCCCACCCAATAAGATCATATTTCATAAAGTCCAGTGGGCATCAGGCTGCATATATGACTCTTACAAGGTGAAATGTTGTTGCTGTACCCATGTAAACCTTATTGCCATTTCACGTCTTTCTTTTTTAATCCTTTCTTTTCTGTGTTTCCTTTCCTTGCTTCTCTGTACCAGTTTTGTACCAGCAACACACCCTACGCTAAAATGTGAAGGTAAAACATCATCATTATTATTTATAGTGCTGGCTAGAAAGCAAGAGTTCCAGTCCGCAAAAGAAATTTGAGGTTTTGAAATTTGAAATGAAAACATGAGAAAGAACTAATTAAATGTTCACTGTGCCAGAGAGAGACTGACTCTGTAGCCTAGTCATTGGGGCATTTACCAGCAATGTAGGGGAACCAGGTTCAAGTCCCTGCTCCAATTCAGGCTGAGCAGGGACTTAAAACCTGGATCTTCCATAGCCCAGCCCTAACCACCAGGCTATTGGCTATTTTGGGATGGGTTTCTCTGTGGTTTTGGCTAGATATTGTTTCCTGGACTTGAAAAACCTTCCCAACAAAGATGATAAATTTTTGCAAAAAGTTTGTTTCAATAAATTGGCATGTTCCATTGAAAAACTCTCGACCAGCTCTAATGATTTATTGTTTAGAAGTAGTTCCTAGAGGTCCCAACCAAGATCAGGTCTTCGTTGTGTTAGATGCTGTAAAAATACATACTAAGCCTCAGACCTTGCCCCAAGAGCTTACAGGATAGATATAAAAGACAATGGTTGGGAGAAAGAAAATAGCATCATTATTCTAATTTTATGGATGCCAATTCAGTGATTTGTCCAGGATCACAAAAGAAAGTTTCTATCAGAGCTGGGAACTGGGCCCACATTTCCTGATTCACCATCTACCGCCTCAACCAAAAACCTACCCTTTCTTTCTGCAACCTGTATTACATTCTATGATTGATGCTACTATGGGCTTGAAGTGGTTAATGGGAATTTAGGATGTTAGTCTTACTTCCTCAGTAATAGCCTTATCTATATCTAATTGTATATGAAGTCAGCACCTCCTCTAAATTTCACAGTTTATTCCTTTTTTCCACTCTCCTTCAGTCTTTCATTGCTCATAGTAGCACATCTGACTAAACCCTCACAGAAGGATGTTAGAACTTCATGGCGATATTGTATTAGGAGGTTTTCCTTATCCGGCTACTTGATTCTCTGAGCTGATAGTTTGTCCTTTCTAATGCAAGTCAATGGTTCATTGGACTGAGGCCCAATTTTAAATAAACTCATCATTTTGTTCGCGCTTCGGAGGCTTTGGCCATAATTAAACATCAGCTCCAAAGGGCTAGAATCTGCCCATAAAAGGAATAAAAGCAAATATTATGTATAAGGCTGATTTTTTTAAAAAAAAGTTGATCAACCTGAGTCAAATTTATATTTTTAGTGTGTTCAGAGTCAGTTACTACCAAATTGTCATTTTTTACATTTTAAAAACAAGCTGTTATTTTAGTAAATTATTAAGTACCGAAGAGGTGGTCATTTTATTTGTTTAATTTTTTCAACACAGGCTTTTTCCCTTCCTTTTCTGTCTAGCTCATGTAGGGATGCCTTTTAATTTTTTAACATTTGAAAACTATTGTAAAACAAAAAGAGAAAAATATATTAGGTACTTGAGTTTTACATGTAGTAATTTATTCTCTTTTCAAATGCAAATAAAGTGAGTATCAGTTGAAAGAGAACTATTTTTTCCTGTTTGTTTAGGATGATTTTACTGGAGCATCCCTGCTGAGACCAAAGTCTCCTTTCCAGCAGTCGAACATCTTACAGACGTTAGAATAAAATTTCCCTAAATGAAGCTCCTCATTGACACCGGGGTGATTTTAATAAATAACATATGACTTAGTGAATATAAAGACACATTGTGTACAGACTAATGCCCTGCACTGCTTCCTTATGAGAGGTAGCTAGTTTATTTTGTTAATTAAACCTTAGTTTTGTGTTTCTCATTGAAATTAATTGAGGAGATTTCAAAAAGTAGCATTTAAGTTTTTGTGCAGAAAGGAAGGAAAGCAAAGGAAATGGTCCTTATTTTCAAAAACTGGCCTGAACTGAAGGTAGGTAAGAGCAAATCTCAAATTTGGAGAAAGTTAATTGGATTCAATTTCTACATTGAAGATTCTAAATTTTCATTCCAAAAGCTGTGAGACCTTCTCCCTTGTCTTATCGGCTGCTGCATTTGTTGCCCGTTCTCATAGTTTAAATCAATACATGTGTTTTTGATATTTGGCAAACTGAAATTTAATTTTGCAGCTGCGTGATTCCTGTAGAAACTAAATGCGTCTTACAGAAATAAAAACATTCAGAGAGAAAACATTTTGAGAGAATGCTAGTGAGGGAAAATCTATTCCTGTTCTATCAGCATTTATTTCATTTTATTTAATTACAGAGGATTTGTATGTTACTGGAAATGAAAATGAAAACCGGAATAGCCACATGAGCTGCAATCTGATAAAACAGCCAGCTATTGTTTGGAATGAAAAGTGAATGCTTGTGGTGTTCAAAAACAAAATTTTAAGAGTTTTAACTGTACAGTATATTTTAAAACCTACACACACAGATAGCTAACAAACCCATGTGTTTTTGTGCGATAATCTGCTAAATCTTGGAGTATTATTATTATTATTTTAATAAAAATAAAAACCTGGAGATGGTCATATTGAGTCTCTGATAAAATCTTGGTAATTGATTTCTTTCCCAGCTCAGTTCTGAGAAGACCATACCTGTTTGGGACGTCCATGTTTTTTGGTATCACTATTTATTAAGGGTTAATCCAACCTGGCATTACTGTTCATTGAATATTCCTGACTTTGCAGCACAGCTAGGTCCTGTGGTTTAGACAAAATAAAGTGTTGGATGGGATCCCAGTTTTAATAGTCCCAATTTATTATAACCATTGAACCCTGATCAGATCACAGATTGGATTAGATCCCAGTTTTTTAAATGTCCCAATTTATTGCTGCCTTGGAACCCTGATAAGAATACATATTTGATTAAGGCTTAGGTTTTCAAAAAATTCCAGTTAATTACTTGTAGATTCTTATTAGATCATAGCAGGGTAGCACGGTATGTAGGAGTTCTGAAAAAATTACTGGATGATGTTACACAGGTCAAGGTCAGCGCTTCATTTTGTGCTGACAGTATGAAGTTATCAGATTTCTGTTTATTACAGTGGCAGCATTTGCACTGGACAGGAGGACAGACGAATCCCATCCCATTGATTCTCAGTGATTCTCATTTTAGATCTGCTGCTGCTATATATACCAGAAAGTGTAATAAAAGCCTACCAGTGAGCAGTGAGGGTCTGATATGTGGCTATGACTGACTGATGTCAGCAATCCTCTCCCACCTTTCATAGGGGATGACATTGCATTTAAACCAAGTGGTGGGTTTTAAGCTTCCAGTTCCAATTTACATTGTTACTAAAACAGAATTTGCTCTGACAGACTCAGCAAGCTGCATACTGCTAGTCCACAAAGAAGGGACACCTCCAGTACAGAGCTGGTTTGGGGCTTGAACCCAGAATGTTCTGGCTCAGAGCTGAGTACTGTACTGGGTGTGGGAGCCAGACTGACGCACGGTGTAGATTATTTGACAGATGATCCTTTTGTCCAATCACCAGGTTTCTTTCCCAGATGCCGCAGTCCAGTTGGCACTTTCCAATACGTCATAGCCTGGCCCTCTAAAGAACCCCAGAGTTTCATTCCCGTAGCATCGCTGGCTTGCCCTTCATTGAGACAATAATTTCACTATGATCCGGATGCTCTTTTTCAAAGATTATGCTGTCTGGCCATCTAAAGAGTCAAAACATTTTGTTGGTAATGGCCTCGCTTTCTCTGGAGTACTATGCTGACCTGTGACACTTTTTTTTTTGAAGATACATCTTTAAAATGATGCTGTCAAAGAGAATTATAACTGATTGCATTATTGACTGCTTACAAGCCAAAGGCATACTTCATAGGAAACGTAGGATTAAAATGGAACTTGGAAAAGTAATAATCAAGTTGTTTTGTTATTGTTGCTGGAAAGTTTAGTTGCAGAGACAGCGATTGAGATCCTCCGCTAAGGGAAATTCTCTTTGGTACTGCTCAAGCAATGCAGAGGGCACTTCAAGCTGTCTTGATGTAGGGGAGCTTCCCAGTGCTATAAAGCTGGATCTATGCATTCTGCTGCACACAGGGGACATTCAAAGATGGGGCTCATGCATGCCACTGTTCTATGATCCTGGACTCACAGAATGGTTCCCAGGAGACTGTTTCATCTGACATAAGCTAGAGAAGTCTGGTGGCTGCTCTAACTTACCAGTGGAGCCAATGCCAGGGTCAGAGGAGGCAGAAAAATGGCTCGGAAAGCCCACCGCTGCTTCCCCACATAGAAATCTGTATACCCTTCAGCACTTTGCATCAGCATGTGCTTGGGGAAATACCATAATTGCAGACTTCCTCTTCTCTTTCCCCCTCTCTGCCAGAGAGTCTAAGGCAAACGTTTGTAGGCATGGGCAGTTAGCAAAGGAGTTTTTCATAGAATCGTAGGACTGGAAGGGACTTCGAGTGGTTATCTAATCCAGTCCCCTGCATTCATGGCAGGACTAAGTATTATCTAGACCATTCCTGACAGGTGTTTGTCTAACCTGCTCTTAAAAATCTCTAGTGATGCAGTTTCCACAACCTCCCTGGGCAATTTAGTCCAGTGCTTAACCTGACAGGAAGTTTTTCCTAATGTCCAACCTAAACCACTCTTGCTGCAATTTAAGCCCATTGCTTCTTGTTCTATCCTCAGAAGTTAAGAAGAACAATTTTTCTTCCGCCTCCTTGTAACCACCTTTTATGTATTTGAAAACTGTTATCATGTCCCCTCTGTCTTCTCTTCTCCAGATTAAACAAACCCAATTTTTTCAATCTTCCCTCATAGGTCATGTTTTGTAGACCTTTAATCGTTTTTTTTGTTGCTCTTCTCTGGACTTTCTCCAATTTGTCTACATGTTTCCTGAAATATGGCACCCAGAACTAGACACAATATTCCAGCTGAAGCCTAATTAGCACAGGGTAGAGTGGAAGAATTACTTCTTGTGTCTTGCTTACAACACTCCTGCTAATAAATCCCAGAATTATGTTTGCTTTTTTTGCAACAATGTTACCCTGTTGAGGCTTGTGATCCACT